TGCATAAGGGAAGGGGAATCTCCCCACACATCCACAATGTTAAAAAATGATTACAAATTCATCCCTTCCCTTTGTTTTCCCATGCTGCACACATTGATTCACTGCTGATATTCATTCCTGGGGTAGAGCAAAAAAAGAGCCACCAGGAACACTCAACAGGGAGGGTCACCTGTTTTCCAGCCAGAATTGTTTTCCTCTCCCAGAAGATCCACCTGGGGTGGTCTTGCCTTCCTGCCTAGATTTCTGCTCAACATGTCTCTTTTGGAACTAAGTCTGAGGCTGATTTGAGATGAACCAAAGTCCTACCATTGTCCCAGACTCACTATATATGAAGAGAGGACAATGTTATGCCTTCAGTCTCACAGGTGAAGAAGCAATTACAGAGGCCACAGGAGCTCCACAGGACCTCCCAACTCCCTTGCATGTGACCACCCAGTCAAACAACAGCCACAAAGACATGGAACTGCAGTAAACTGCAGCACTGCCTTCTCTATCTTCCATCTTCAGCCAGCCCTGACAGTCCCTGAAAGCACAGCTTGGCTGGGAACATGGAAAGCCCCTGAAAGCTGCCTGAGAGCCTCATGAAGAGGTCACAGCACACACATGGGCAGGAGGTAAAGCCATGCCCAACACCTGGACTTCAAACCCTTCTCACTTCTGCTCTCCTCCCATTCTTTGCCACATCACCTACAAAAATCCATTGATCCAACCTCAAGCTGTCAAACCAGAGTTTCCCAACCTGTTCTTCCTCCTGTGCCACAGAGGAATAGGAGGAGGGAGATGATGCTCACTGGTTCTGTGGCAAGGCTCAGGATTTATCCTCACAAATCACCTTGATGTATGAATAACAATGCATTGAGTAAACTTCTGATATCCCAAACATTCCAAAAGAAAACACCCAAGTTTATCCTCCAACTCTGGTGAATGTCTCAGGCAGGTTCCACAATTTGCTGTGGCCCTCTCGTGGTCACAGCCAGAGGGTGACACCACCCCATGTTCTCTAGGTTTTCTTGGCTTGTACTTGGAACATCACTAGAAAATTAATAATTCATAAGTGCATGCAAGGAGAGGATCAAAGATCCTCCTGCTGGTAGCCAGCATGAGATGCAGAGAACCTGCACAGGGTCTGTGTTCAGCCAAACATCTACTGGAGTTTGGGTTCTCAGTCTGTGATCAAAAAAGGTGCTAAGGGAGGAGAGAGTATGGATCATGCACAGAAACAGACTAATCAGGACTAAGGCAAAGCAGGAGAGGGAGAGGAGGATAAAAGACTCCCTAACACCTTCTGTTTATCACTAAGAGCATCATCATCATCCTGTGTTCTCCCTATCTTTTTAATCCACCATGGGCAGCAAACATCCCCCTTGGGGCAGGGCCATCCTGACCCACATCACATGGAATTCTGCCAAGGAAAAGGCATTCCCAGCCCCGTACCTTTAACAGAGAATCCACTGTTTTCCTCCTCAGAGTCACTATCCAGCTCGAATAAGTCCTTGAATTCCTTCTTATCTTCCTCCTTTCTTTCATCATGCTTCTTCCGCTTGATTTCTGGGAAGTTCAAGTCTTCAAGCTGGGGAAAAAAAAAACCCAAAACCAACAGTCAGAACAACCTTAATTTGTACTTTTAAAACATAAAATGTGGAGTTTAAACACAGGAACTTGGCTTTGCCAAGACACGTTGGGTTTTTCTGCTGCCAGCTAGGGGAGCCACAGATTTGTGAGTGGGTCACAAAGGTGAATGATCCACACAAAGCACTGCTGCTCTATTGATCCTTACCTAATAAACTACTTTGGCTAATGGGCCATCTACTGCTGCTACCTTAGCAGGGATGAAAATGTAAGCTATCCATCATCACAAGCTGGCTGTAGGATGTCTGGGCTCTGGAGAGGTCCAGCAGCACAACCAAGCAGACTGTGCTGGTCATCTCTGAAGTTTCTCATCAATACCAAAAGCTGTGACAGCTATAGCAAAGTTATTGGCTTTTTTTTGGGTGCAGATTTCAGCACAGTCAGATGGCTGAGGATGCTAAAGGTCTGTGTGGCTCAGTGGGTCCCTGGTCACTTGCCCTGATGGAGATCACTGGGCCAAGAGCTTCTCTGCTGCAGCCAATATCAATGCCATTAAGTACTTGCAATTGACACCACCTCACTGCTCTTTACACCTCTCCGGAGGGGGATTAGGGGGAGGATTTACTCGCAAGGGCTCAGGCCAGCAGGGCAAAGATAATCAGAATGCAAATTAAATCCCAAGTGCTCTCTGAACATCAGCTGCCAGTGGCCCTGCCTGGCTGCACACCTCCTGGGAGGCACTCAGGCATTAGCACACATTAGCTTGCTTGGAAACATTCACCCTGCGAGTAATAACTCATTTGCTCTCTCCAACCCCTCAGACCACCCCTCAGCACACTCCTGGCTGACCACAGCCACTTCAGCCCTCCTGGGAGCTGCTCCTGATGGGAACAGCACTGAAGAACAGTGGGTATGGAAAGGAGCTCTCAGCAGAGGGACAGAGGATGGGAAGCCAGTGGGTATGGAGCTCTCAGCAGAGGGAGAGAATGGGAAGGACAGCAGGTATAGAAAGGAGCTCCCAGCAGAAAGAGGATGGGAAGCACGGTGGGTATGGAAAGGAGCTCTCAGCAGAGAGGGACAGAGGATGGGAAGCACAGTGGGTATGGAAAGGAGCTCTCAGAATGGGAAGGACAGCAGGTATAGAAAGGAGCTCCCAGCAGAAAGAGGATGGGAAGCACGGTGGGTATGGAAAGGAGCTCTCAGCAGAGAGGGACAGAGGATGGGAAGCACAGTGGGTATGGAAAGGAGCTCTCAGCAGAAAGAGGATGGGAAGGACAGTGGGTATGGAAAGGAGCTCTTAGGAGAGAGGGACAGAGGATGGCGATGGGAAGACAAGAGAGATGGAGATGTGCCTTTGCTCCTGCAGCCAATTCCAGCAATTTCTCCCAGGCTGTTTCACAGTTATGGTCCCCAGCTGGGCAATATTGATTCTGGGAGCTGAGCACTTACAAGCAATAACCTGCAGCACCAGGATGGAAAGTCAGAAGCTGGTCAGAGAAGGGGAGAGGGGAACAAATCACCAACCACCATTTGCAGGGGCTTAATTTTAAATCATCTTCCCACCTGCCCTTTTTACCACTCCGAGAGGTCTCAGCAGAGACCTGCTGGGCTGTCTCTGTGCTGGGAGGCTGTGAGGAGGAAGCAGGACAGGCCTGGCTTTCCAAACAGCACTCACTACATGCCAGAGAAGAGAACTGGGAAGCAAAATGCAGCAAGGGCAGCAATCCAGAGGCACTGCCAACTGGCTGCCCTCAGCTGACCTAACGACAGGCTGTCACCAGCCTCATTCCTAGGGTGGTTATAGAACCATAGAATGGATTGGGTTGGAAGGAATCATCTAGCCCCAACCCCCTGCTATGGACAGGGACACTTTCCACTAGTACAGGTTGCTCCAAGCCTCGCCCAACCTGGCCTGAAACCCTTCTAGGGATGGGGAGTCCACAACCTCTCTGGTTATGCCTTGAGCAACCTGCTCTGGTGGGAGGTGTCCCTGCTCAGGGCAGGGGGTTGGGACTGGATCATCTCTAAGCTCCACTCCAACCCCTTAACAGGCTATGAAAATGTTTTCCTTAGCCCCTACCAGTTCTGGTGGACAAGACAGACTCATGTCCTGGCAGCATGTTCAACACGAAGCAGAGGCTGAGGACTATTCATACACAACTCCATCCTTTCCCCCTGCCTAGGACAAATCCCATTTCCAAAGGCAGCCTACAGGTTTGGGGTGACATCAGTCCTGGTTGAACTCAACCTGAGGCATATTAAAAAAGATTTGGTGTTGAATCATGCTGAGCTGTGCTACCTCCAGCTTTCTGGGACTCCACAGATCAACCTTCAAGATAGGCACCTCAAAATAGAGGCCCCAAAAACTCTCCTTGCTGTGCAGTGATCACAGAGCAAAGGAATGAGCCTGGTACTGAGTCACAGCTCACAGACAGGGGCTGTGTTCATCACACAGCAGCAGCAATTAGGTAATTTGGGGAGCAGTCTTTTAATCCTCAACTAGAGGGTTACTATCTACCAAGCCTCACGAAGCAGATTAGTCTACATCCCATTAAAAAACATTGGGAAAAGCAAATGCAATGGGCAGACAGGGTCAGTGCTGTTATATAAGCCAAGCTGCAGCTCAGAGCCAAGCTGAGGTGGTGTTTTTTTTTTTTGCTATTATTATTTTTTTCCCCCAATGGCTGCTAATGGGACATGGATTTTCCCAGCCCTAATGGGCCTCATGGTGTTCACTCTCCTGCTGGGGCTCACAATGCTGCATCATTAAGCTCCCAGTCCCCACCGAGGCACACAACAGCTCCATTCACCAAGCAAAGATGCCAAGCAGCCAACGAGCCTTTTGGAGAGCTAACTCCAAAGTCTGCCTGTCTCTGCAGTCTGTCTGCAAAAGGAAAAAAATCACCCCTGGCACTGCCCTTCAGGCTTTCACTGGTTTCTTGAGCCTTGCTGTCTTAAAGCAATGCTCCTCTCCACCTCAGCTGGTCCTGGTCATCCCAAGGAGCTCCAGCTCCTTTAATAGAGACAGAAGCTTCTCTACACTGAGACCTGATCTCTCCCCTTGTGCTGGTTTCTTCAGTACCAGGCAAGTGTCTCCACACACCAGCAGTTTTAGGCAAGAGATTAGCCCCACTCCCAACCATCACTTCTGGCTGTTTCTTAGCCCTCCCAATTTCCTTCCTGCAAAGCCACATTCTCTGCACAGCACACAGTGTGCTTTTTGTTCCCTCTGCATGGCTGCTCCAGGGAATTGCAGCCTCCTGCCCTTCTCTCAGGCTGTTCCATGGTACTGAGCATTTCTAGGATCTCCCAGGTCCTTGTAGCACGCTCCGGGACTCGTCTCAGAGCCAATCATCCTTATGTCCCATCGATTATCTTAATTGTTCCCCAGCATACACTGGAGACACCAATTATATCTATTTCCTGCTGCCTGGCCAAGAGCCTGGCTCAGCCACTTTCATTGCATTAGCATCGAGACAGCTTGCCTTTAGACTCCTAATGCAGCTCCCACCCCCTCCTGCTGCATCCTGGAGTGGCCAAGGAGCCTTCCCTTGGGTAGGAGATGTGGGAAATGACAGTCTGGGCACTTCTGTCCAGACAGCACATCCCACTTCTCAACCAGTGCCACCATCCTGCTGCCAGGATGTGGCTCTGGTCTTCCCAGGGCACACATGATGCCCAGAAAGGGATTTCATACTTACTCTTTCTTTGCCACTGATTTCCAGTTGTATCTCCTTCTCTCTTAGCTTCTTCCACTGAGTGTAATACTTGGCCAGGGGTGTCCCCTCCTCTTTGACCTGTTTCTCCCACTGTTCCTGTGGAGAAAGGGAGTACAAATTGAGAGGCTTGCAAAGCAGTTTTCCAGTATCACCTTGGCAAACACAAGGAGTCAGGAGCACAAGGTTAAGACCTTGACCCAAACCACATTTTCCTAACTACTGGGTAGGAATTGGCAACCAAGAAGAGAAGGAGGACTAAGTGTGAATTCAGCCACAGTCATTTGAGGAATTGCTGAGTCAGGAGTGGCATGACTGACAACTCTCCTCAGGCAAAGCAATGCCTGAGCACTGCAGGGAAACCAGAGGAAGCCAAAAGCTGAAATGGTTGGACAAGGCAACAGCTCAATCATGTGATATCAAAGCACAGGATGCCCATGGCACTGAAGGACAGCACAAAGTCCTCCCAGTGGAGACATATGGTGGTTTATATGATGCTTTAGCTTATGGAAGATCACCACATTTTCTTAGCATGAAATGTGTGTTCCCAGACTCCTATTCCAACCTTCTAGGGCTGGAGCCTGTGTCTGGCCAGACTGACTGAGCAGAGCTGGTGCTGTCTCCAGCTCAGCTTTCCTCTCCATCCAACCCACCCCCGTGGCAAGAGGAGTCATTCCTGAGGAGTACAAAGTCACCCCATTTATAGATCAGGCTCAGCTCATGCTGCCAGCTGCAATCAGGTAATTTGCTGCTGCTGCTTGGTATGGACAGTTTCTGAGAAAGGCTCTTCTCACACGAGGGGAAGGTCTATTTGTTCTGTCTCATACAGCTCTTTGGGTTTTAAAGTGTGCCAGAATCTGGAGATTAAAAAAAGACTACTAATGCATTCCCATCTTCCTAGTGAGAACACCTCAATGGGAATTTTGAGAAAGGGGGTGCCATCCCACCCACTTTAACCACTTGAAATTCTCCTCCTATTACAGCTTCTGCATCACTGTGCTGTCAGCACAGCCTGAGCCCACAGTGCTAACACCTGTACCATAACAATAACCCTCCAGAAAATCCTCCCATCTGCAGTGTGAGATGGGGATGAACCCAGCAGAGCTGGAAATCCCAGAGAAATGAGGCTTCTCACTCCCTCACCTCAATTTTCATGCTGCACAGCTCAGAATGAGGGTCCCAGCTCAGCACAGAGGTCTGACAGGGAACCACAGAGCCCTGCAGGTCTTTCTCCTTCCCTGCATCTTCCCTTGGGGCCCACACCAGTGCAAAGGAACCTAAAATCACAGCTGCACATTACACATCTGGCTTCAGCTCCAGGCTTCACTTTTTTTTTTGGCTCCCCTCACAAAGACCTTAATTATTACAGTAACCTGTGAGCACTGTGCTCTCAAAAAAAGCACTGGCACTCCATGACTAACTACAACAATCCAAAAGTAGTTTTCAATCTTAAAATAACATAGAAGAAATCAGGCTGGACACCTGCTGTGCCTATCCCTCCATCCCACAGTTCCTGGGATATGAGGAAGGATCTTTCCACACGCTAAATATTGCACCACCACGCTCCCTTCACAAATCCTTAGGTAAAACCCATTCCCACTACTCTAATCCCCCCCCAAAAAAGCTGCATTTCAGCATGTTGCATGGAATAATTAGCTCAGAATTTGGGCTGTGCTTGGAGCAGGCACAAATGTGTGGGAAAAGCAGGGAGCATTTGCTTTCAATTGCTCCTGCTGGCAAAGGGGACACACAAATACCTCCCCTTCCCTCCTTCCCTCCACTTCTCTGGCAGTGTTTGCTCAGGAGAAGTGCCAATGTCCCACATAGCTTGGAAACCACCCAGACTTCGAGGGACACTCCAAATCATTCTGGGAAGTTCAGTCCCTGGAGGAGCTTTGGCCCTTCTTGGGAATCTACACCAACTGCTTGCAGAGGTGTAAGGGGAGAACACAGGGTGAGCCTGGCCATGAAAACTGAGCTCTGGGCACAAAAGATAAGCCACTATGGCTCTTCCACCCCTCAGAAGTGCTGAGTGGGCTGCTTGCTCTGCTTCCAGGAGCACTGATTTCCCAGTAAGTGAAGGAAAGGCCAAGAGCAGCCTCCAAACATCCTTGGCAAGTTGATGTCCTTCCCTTAACCAACCTCCTTTACTCAAGGCAGTGCCTCTTGCTGCTCCTCCAGGGTCAGACTCATTTGATTCCCCCTGCTCAGACATCCCTGGGAAAGCAGGTGCACTAACTAGGAGACAGCCCATGTTAAAATAATCATTTGGTTCATACTCAAGGGACTACAGCCAGAGCTGCTGGGAAAAGCAGACAGTGGCAGAGCTGTTGGAAACCCTGTTTTATTTAGCCAAAGACCTTTCCCAGCTCATGGAGAGCCTGGGAGGCTGAAACCTCTGCCTCTGCAGTGGGTGGGTGGTCACAGCCTTGCCCACAAAAATACAAACCAACAAACCCCTAACTGCCTCATTCCAGACAGGAAACATAACTCCTTTAGCAAACCAGTCCAAGCCAGACTGGGATTTACCGAACCAAGACTGCTTAGTCACTCCAAACCCAGTTCCACACCAAGCCCTCCATCTCAGAATAGCACTGCTGTGTGCTGGCACTGAGAGACCAGGATTTCAACAGCTAATTTCCCTGCAGTCCCTGCCCCTGAGTGTCTGAAGACAAATTAGTCTGCACTGCTGCTCCGTGCTCAGCTCTGTGCCGACGGGTGGAGCTTCCAGCGATGCACAACTCCAGACTCCAGTGACCACAGAGGCTGCTCTGACCCATCCATTACCTTGCAGACAGAGATATTTTCACCTCTCTCCTGCCAGGCAAGGAGGAGTCAGCCTCCCTGCCTCTCCTCACACACACAGCTCAGCTGCTCTCAGGCTTGCAAAGGGTTACTGAGGTTGGCAGAGTCACCTCATCCCTTTAGGCACAAACTGGCACCTCCAGTCAGGAAAGAGATGATGAAACTTCCTGGCAAAGGAGATACCCCAGCAAAGCAAGGCACTTCCATGCCTGTGTGTGTCTTATAAATAACACAAGGACACAATTTATGGACTGTGTTTTCCATGAGGCTCTTGGCTGCACAGTCTTGCCAGCAACAGCACCAAACCCTGCCGAGCTCAGTTGTTTGTGAGCATCTGCCCCACCTCACATCATCTCCTCCTCCTTCTCCTCCCTGGCACACACTCTGCCCAGCATCCAGGGCCTCACTGCCTTTCCAGGAAGGCCAAATGGAAGCAGCAGACTCACCACAGCCTCCCTGCTGGCCACACCAAAAGCAGCTTTCTGACGCTTGTTGGAGATGTAGGCAGAGTTTTCCTGCAGTTTCTCCAGGAGCTGCCGGATAGGCTTGCAGTAGTTGGCAACCTTGCACTCCTTCAGGAAGGATTTTAGCTGGAAAAAGAGAGGAAGAATGAAAACAATGTCATAGTTTCCATAAACAAGAGCCCATGAGTAAAAAAAGCATCTCCCACTCTCAGTGACAGATAAGCACAGAGCATCTTCTCCCTTTAATTCATTCCATATTCCAGTGTATCTGACTGAAGGCAGAGTTTGAGAAGAGACTTAAAACTGGGATGGAGGTGTCTGTGGACTGGGAATAAAGGCTTGTGGCATGGCTTGGTGGGAAAACCTGGTGCTGCTGTGGGTCAGGATAGAGTCATTGGGGTAAGGTTTGCTCCATGTCTGACTGCACCAACCCAACTCCAACTGGCACCACTGACTTTTCAAGGGCTCAAACCCACACACCCACCACACAAAAATTCACAACCTAACTCTCCAACACCAGGGCCTTACTCTGACACCTCCAAGCTAAAAACTGAGGCAGCAGTGGATGCTCCTGATGAGCGAAAGAAAGATGAGAGTGTCCACATTGACTCATGACTTGAATTCAGTTTACTACACTGTCTGCTAACAGTTTTCACCAACTCCAAGACAAGCCTCTGGAGTGCTGTCCAAATTCTGCAGGCCAAGCTCTTTGCTAGAGTCATATATAAATACACACACACTACACAGACACTTGATTTAGAGAAAGAGATCCAATAAGGCCAAAGAAAATGGTTAACCACAATGGAACCTTCATCTCAGCTGGGACCTGCAGATGTTATCATGATAGAGATAGAGGGTTTCCAGTCAGCAAATACATCACTGCCTTCTCTCCTTGTGGCTTCAAAGGTTCTGCCTCAAAAGACACAACTGGGGGAAGAAAGAAGATGCCACCCTCCTGTCAAACCTGTGTGTTGGCTTCATCTTACATGCCAAGTGGGGAGGTTAATCAGGAGGTGACAGTCACACCTAGCCCCTCTCTGCCAGGACAATGCTCTCCTGATGGGTGTATTGCTGCTGTGACACCCATGGAGGATCTCTCCCATTAACTAGCAGCAGGGGCTTCCCTTGCCCCTTTATTCCCAGCACACACCCACCTGCCATCAGCTCAGAGAAATGGGAATTAAAAGGAAGACCTTCCCTGCTTCCCACAAAGCAATACAAAGAAACCATCAGCCAAACTATTCTTCTGCTGCTGAAGCCTGTCCTACCCTCACCCCCCTTTCCTAAAATATTTATTTTTTATAGGTGCTGCATATTTATCTCCACTGAGAGATGCATTTGTCATTCCATTTATCTCACTTGATCCCCACAGCTGCAGCCCCAGATCCATTTCATCCGCTGCCACATACATTATCATTTTTCTTCCCTTGCTGAAGTGTCACCAGAAATCCTGCAAAATCTCAGGCTCTATCAGTGCAGTTTGGTGCTGTGTGTTCCCCCTCCTAGCTCTAGGCTTCATTTCTGCCTTCCCCCTCCTCTCTCCTGCCCTGCAATCCCTCACAGTCCCACCACTATCTGCCACAGATATTAATGAAATGTAATGAGATCTCAGTCCTGTGTTAAGAGGCAGCAAACACAACCAGGGAGGTAAGAGATAAAGGACAGAGAGAGAAAAAGGGGCTGTGTGTGCCTTTTCCCACTCTGCCAAATGTAACAAGCCTATCCTTCCAGAATGAAAGCAATCAGAGCAGAAATGTGTATGTGTGTGGATATATGTAATTAAGATCTCACATCCCAGCTAAGCAGCTCTGTGATTAGTGGGATTGATTCTGTCCAACTGCCAGCCTGGAACACCAAAGGTTTAGACCAGCAGAGACCACAGCTAAACCCCAATTCCTCTTACTGTAAGTGATGCAGGGAGCTAGAAATGACATGAAGCCACTGTGCATGTGCTGCAGGGAACCCAAATCAAGCCCAATCCTCCACTCATAAAAAGCAGAGGGAATATTTCACCCAGGACAGAGAGTGAGGAGGAGCAGGAGTGGCTGCTGGCAAGGCAAACCAGCACCTCCTGCCCTTCTGTCACTGCAAGCCAAGCCTAGATCATGCCATCTCCTGCCTCCACCAGCACTGCCTACCCCTTAGCAACACCAGTTTTGCCCCTCTCATCTCCCACCTCTGCTCTGTGAGCTCTAGAGGAGGGAAGAAGCTCTTCCAATCATCCAGAGGCTCTGCCCTAGGAGCTCCTTACAGCCCATGGAGGCAGCAACCACCACAGGGTTGTCCCTGGGGCAGAACAGAAGCCTTTGAACTGTCTCCCATCCTCACTGCTTCTCCTTTCCTTTCATCTGCCAAGGTGCTTCCTGCCCTCTGGGCAAGGAGGTTGGAAAGTTGAGTCTGAAGGCAGTTTCAGCCCAGCTTCTCCCCAAGCCTCTGCCCAGCAGAGGAGGAACACAGCCCCTGCCAGTTGGAACACAGCCCCTGCGACACCGAGAGAAGCATGAGCTCATCAGGGAGGAAGAATCAGGACAGATGGATTTTTACAGTGAACTGGAAGCATTCCAGGAGAAAAGCCTCTCCCCACACGCCTTCCCAAAGCCTGGGAGATTTTGGGAAGCTAACCTCAGCCCCCCCCACCCCCAGCCCAGCAGACGCCACGAGGCTGTGGTTAGTGGCAGCCAACTAGGAATCTGATAGCATTAATTCCCTGCAGAAAGCCAGGCTGGTCCCAGGGTGTGTTTGGGAAGCCACAGGGCTCTGGGTGCCAGAGGGGCCGTCAGTCGCTTCTCATTCCAGCTAGAACATCGGCCCCGACAGCTCCGACGCTCCCAACAGCTGCTGGCTGAGAGCACAGGGCCTTGTGCTCTGCCAAAAAGTGAGGAGCACGCACGGCAAGTGAGCACAGGAGCTGCTCTGCTAGCACACAGAGTGCCTGTCAGCTCACATTAGCCAAGGAAGGCAGTGCCAGCCAGGCACTGGTCTGTGCCAGGCTGGAGGGAGCCAGCCAAGAGCTGTGTGCCTGACAGATGCCCATGGCACGTAGCAAAAACACAGGGATCTGCCTCCCCAGCAGCTTGTGAGGCCCAATTATTGCTGCCATGTCAGCTAGAGCAAGGTGTGCAGGCTCAGGGGTGTGTGGAAGGCACCAAACAAGCAGAGAAAGGTTCATGTCCCCATGGAGGAGGAGACGACAGCAGCTCTGCCAAACTTGTCTGACACCTGCCACTCAGGAGTTAAAAATAGAGAGGATTGGGAGGAAGGAGGGATCATATTCCAAGGTGTTCATGCTGAACGATGCTGTCTGCAGCTTCCTCAGGAGTGGCAGCAGTGATCTCTGTGACAAGATACCAGGGAAAGGCATGGAGCTCTGTCAGGGGAGGGTTAGGTTGGATGTCAGGGAAAGGTTCTTCCCTCAGAGGGTGTTGGGGCACTGAAACAGGTTTAGGTTGGATATTAGGCAAAGGTTCTTCCCCTAGAGGTGTTTGGGCATTGGAACATCTCCCCAGGGCAGTGGTCACAGCCTTAAGCCTGACAGAGCTCAAGGAATGTTTGGACAACACTCTCAAGCACAGGGTGGGATTGTTGGGGTGTCCAGTTGGACTCTGATCCTTGTGGGTCCTTTGCAACTCAGGATATTCCATGACTCTATGATAATGTTGCTGTTCAAAGCAGAGAGGTCACTCATTCAAAACCGGAGTCACCCAGCTAGCAAGGTACCAGGGAAGGATTCTGCAGGACACACCTGGATGCACAGCAGTTTTATCACAAAGCCATGGAAGTGGCACTGTGGAATGCCAAGGGAGAGGCACAGCAGAGTGCTCTGCAGCACTGCTGTGAGGTGCAGCCAGGAGGAGGGATGGAGACAAGAACTGTGCTGTTCTGGGGGAGAAAGTGCCCCAGTGGATGGAGGCTCTGAGAAGGGAGGGAACATTGCCATCTTGTGGAGAGCACGGTAGGGAGGCCCAAGGCAAGGAAAAGCACAGGCTCAGAGCACTGAGAAACTGCTCTGAGACACACAGCAGCTCAGACAGCTCTGAATCCCTAAAACCTCACCTGCACTCACTAGTCAAACCCCATTTCCACAGCAGTTATGCAGCCTCTGCTCCACTCTGTCCCCCAACAGAGTAGCTAACTCCACAGCCACTTCAGCCTCCTGATTAGATACAATGCCTCTGTTCCTCCCCAACAATTCCCCAAAATGCAAATTAAAATTCAAATTAAGAAGAGGTAAAGGGCTCTCCCCTCATCTTGAGTTCACTGTTAGTTTAAATGACATTATTCCACCCTGTGTACATTCATGGCCTGACCAAGAAGAGTCTCACACCTTACCTGAATGACAGTGGGGAGAACCAACTCTGGGAACCCAATGCTGTGGGCTTGGCTGTGGAGATACTCAAGCAACAGGTCATAGAGTTGGTCAATAAGTCCATCCTGAGCAGGAGAAAGAAATAAAGATATCTGATTAGAACTACACCTATAGCACTCAGAGTGGGAAAGGAGTCTCCAACCTCATGGGACAGGGACACAGAACAGCTGCTAGGGCAGCTGTGTTGGTCACAGAGAAACTGAGCACTAAGGTGCCACTTACCCTGAAGGCCTTTTCCTGCAGGTTGGCATTGGAAAGCTTCAAGATCACAGCAAAATTTATAGGCTTAGAACTCATCCGTCCTGGCTTCTTGTTGAAATCCACTTGCTGGAAAATCTACAACACCACACAAAAAAAATGAGTGTAAGAATGGTCACACCACAAAACAAACACCAAACAATCCAACTAATATCATGCAGTTGGTGGCAGAGCCAAGACAAGCCAGAAATCATAGCAAGGTTTGGGTTGGAAAGGACCTTAAAGATCATCTTGGTCCCACCCCCTGCAATGGGCAGGGAACCTTCCACTAGACCAGGTTGCTCCTTGCCTGTTCTGATCACTGTACCACAGTTTTCATAAATATCCCATCAAGGGACTTTTAGGGATGCAAACACCAACCACACTTGGAGCTTTAGGGACCTGAGTGTGGGAGATGCCACAGAAACACGAGGTAAAAGGAAACCAACACAGACAAGAGTGCAAGAAACCAGAGATTTGTTCCTCAGCCCCACACTTCTAACAGCCAGAGAACTTGTACCTCAAAGCTTGACTGGATTTTGGAGCTGCCCCTCCAAGTGAGAAGATTTTGAACACAGTAATTGATAATAATTTGCACATCTGACGACAGCCATTGAGGGCATGAGGAGTTATCCTGTCCATCCACACTTCTGAGCACTTCAAGAGGAGCCACCAGTTCCTCTCTCCCTGTGCCCAACGCTTTTTAAATTGCACTCCTGAGCAGGAAATCATTTCCATTCCCTCTATGCAGCAGCAACACATCCATCATCAGCTCCCAAGCAGCCCCAGCAAGGTTGGGATGCAGCACACTGATTGCTGGAGGGTGAGGTGAGAAGGAAAGGGAGGGTGTTCAGGTCACACAGCTGCCCCCAGGCCAGAAAAGCATGGAGACAACTATTGATTTCTTACATTTTATTTGTCAATCCAGGTTATTTGGAAGGGAGGGACAAGCTTGGTGGCTTGTGAAAACAAAGAGCCCTTGCCCAGGGAATCGATGCTCTAAACCTCGTTATGCACAGTTATTTCTTTGGCCAAAACAGGAGTATTGATCCCTGAGGTCAGACACATTAAAGGCATCAGGCTTGGGGAGGGAAGCCTAACATGCTGCCAGGCAAGCAGGGAAATGCAACCAGAAGCTCTGGAATTCACCCAGGAGGTGCTAGGGAGCTGGGCAGGACATGTGGGAAGGGGAGGAAATGTGGTTCCCATCTTCAAGCCTGTGCAGAATGGATCAGCTAACAAAACAGCCAGACTGGAAGGGCTGATGTCTAGGAATCCTGTGGCAGGGTGGGGAGGTGATAATGAGGGACTAGAGGGCCACAAAACGTCAAAAGCCAACCCTCTGGCTTAAGTGAGAACCACTAGCAGACAGAGGAAAGGACAGGGCAGCACAGGCTGGAAGGGGAAGGATTTTTGGCACTCTGAGGCTCACAGATGATTTCCATGTGGGCAGTGGGAAAGGAGCTCAGACAAGGAGTAATGGGGAGAAATTAAAAGAGGGAAAGTTAGATTAGAAATTAGGAAGTTTTTCCCTGTGAGGGCAGTGAGACACTGGCACAGGTTGCCCAGGGAGGCTGTGGCTGTCCCAACCCTGGCAGTGTTCATTCCAGGTTGGATCAAGCCTTGAGCAACCTGCTCTGGTGGGAGGTGTCCTTGCCCAGGGCAGGGGGTTGGGGCTAGATCATCTCTAAGCTCCATTCCAACTCTTAACAAACTATGAATTCTCTCATCTTTGCATCAGCCAATTTCCACCAACACAATCCACTATCCACTCCCATTTATTTTGCTCTCCAAGCCCCTGGGAATTTTCTCCAAAGCAAGCTGCACATCCAAACCAAGACTCAACCCATTTAAGTGTCAAACACTTGTACCTTCCTAAGCATGTCAGGGTTAACCTACTCTGCCATCCCTCCACAGGGGAAGCCAGGATTAAATTGGCATGCAAAACCTGCCCGTGGGGAGATTTCTACCTTGTTTATCCACACCTGCCTTCCAGCAGATGAACCACCAATCCTCCTGCTGCAGAAAGCAATGTCTGTCACACAATAGCTGAAGTGATGAAAAAACAGCAAGACTGGGATGTCACAGACCCTCCAAGGGGAGTAACAATACCGATATAACCCCACTCTGTCCCAATCTGCCTCCCCCTATCTAAGATGTAATTTTAGCTAGCTGCTGCTTTTGCTCCACCCTGGAGAGCAGAGTCAGAGAGGAGACAGTGCTGGATGCTCATACTGGGGAGCATCAGCCCTTGTCAAGACACATCAGGCAGTCAGCTCTCATTCCCACTGGCAGGAGCTTGGGGAATTCCTGTGCCTAGGGGAATGCACAAATGTTCACTCTGCATCTCCTCAACACACAGCAGCAATGAGGCTGAGACAAGGCAGCAAGGGCTGAGTTTCCTTGGTTGGGAAGGGACAGAATTACAGAGTCAGTTCTTACACAAAAACCTTCACAGAACCTACACTCTAAAGCCATGCAGAGCTCTCCCCAAGAAGTGCACAAAACAGGGTCACAAAGTCCACAGCTGCTCTTTTACTACACTGGGATTCAGCTCAAACAGGGTAGTTTGAATCCTTCCTACCCAACAGAGCACACTTGATACTGGGAATGCTTCATATTCCACTCCCTGAACCCTGGTGATGCTCCTGGAGTACACTCCTGCTTAGTACCCACACACTGATCAGATCCTTCCACCTCAGGATGGTTTTATGGGCTTAAAGTAGATTTTGGTTCATGGCATGGTGTAGTATGGAACTAGTGTCTATGGACTGAATTTGGGAGCTGGCAGAAAGGTTCATAGTTAAAGCACTATGGGCATCAGAATGCAGATTGTCCTCCCCAGCATCACCACAGCCACCCTGGGACTTTGGGCAGGTCACTTCCCACTTCCTACCACCTCATCCACACAGCTGGAATACAACTCCTGCCTGAGACAGCTTATAGAGACATTCAGGGTTGTAAGAGCTCAGCTACCTCAGCAACAGAGTTGGGAAGAGATGGAAGTACAAAGTGAACAGCCCTGAATACTATTGGAAACTCCATGGAGTATTTGAGGGATCCCATGCAGGAGACAAGCAGGAAGAAGGGAAAGGCTGAGAGCTGCAAGAAGATTTGAGGGTTTGACATCATGCCAGGCACACATTTACTCTTCTCCCCCTTGTCACCACCACACCTGGACAAGCTGAGCAGTGCCTCAAGCACACACAGCAGGATGGGATGTGGTTGGGAGCTGAGGAAGCTGGGAGGAAGCTCAGAGTGCAGTGTGGTAACATCTGGCTGGGGCTTGACACACAGATTAGAGAGGAGGTGTTGGGGCCAGAATGCAAAGAAGGGGAAGAAAGGCCCTGAGGGGAAAAGGTTTTATTTTTCACAGCACTAGAAGGTAAAAAGCAGAGACCATCCTCACCCCAAGCTCCATAGCCCTAGAGGGGAGATGGCTCTATCATGAGATCTGGTTGGCAGGATTTCAAACATGCATGAAGAAGAGGAAGGAAGCAGAGGAATGGCAAAGCCACACAGGTCAGGGCCAGGGAGCAGGAGGAGATTTATAAACATCACTGCCTTCCACAGGCTGAGGATGTGGTTTGCAAAGGACATTTACAACCCCAAACCACAAGAGCCTTTGCTCCAACACAACTTGATTAGGAATGAGCCTGGCTGACTCAGGGCACTTATTACAGAAGTCTCCCTCCCTCCTTCCTCCTCCTCCTCAGTGTCCAGGCTCCTGCTGACATCCTGCATTCCTCACTCTGCCTTGCTCATATTTCTTCAGTCAGCTCTGCCTGCACCACTCTGTCCTACCTTCTAGGTAGATTGACATGGAGAGGTGTCAGGTGTCTGATACATGGGGCAAAGCTGGATGGTCTCTCAGCACCAATATTTCACCAAACATGTTGCATTTTGCCAGGTTATGCTCACAGAGATTTTCCTAAATAAATTCTTAAATCTCGAAGGGCTTTTTCCTTCCATTTCCCTTTGTCCACACTTAGGACAAACCTCCCAGGGAGGTTGTGACTGCCTCAACCCTGGTAGTGTTCCAAGACAGGTTGGATAAAGTCTTGAGCAACCTGCTCTGGTAAGAGGTGTCCCTGCCCAGGGCAGTGAGCTGGGACTAGATGATCTCTAAGGTCCATTCCAACCTCTTAACATACTATGAAACTACACTATGAAACTCTTCCTTTTGCTAGGACATGAACACATCAGCAGGATCAAGTAACAGCAACTTGAGGAGTTCCTACAACCAGCTGAGCCTCTGAACCCCTTCTTTAGCAACCAACCCCTTGGCCTACTGCAGCTGCATTAGTGAAACCACCTAAGAAAGCATTTTTGCACCCAGCTCATCTCAGGTACTCTCCACTCACAAGTCAATAAGAGTTCAATCCTATTTGCTCACCAAACAACACATTGTCTGATGCTGTTTGCCAGGGATTTCGGGCAGTCAGCAAAGTGGGAAACCTTGGGAGCTGCTGGTGAGGGTAGTGAGTGTGTTCATTAGGTGGAAGGTGGCAGCAGCAAGCAACTAACCTCCAGGATAAAGGGCAGCACTGGGATGAAGGTCCTGGTGTTCTCAGAGAGCAGGGTGAGTGCTCGGATGCAGTGCATGCGCAGGGGGTAGAAACGAGACGTTGGCACCAGCCTGGAGGGGAGAAAAAAAAAGGATACTAGGCCAATTTGACACAAGAACTGCACCTGCAGCCTGCAAGGACACTCAAGAGCCTTTTCCTGCTCTGCTAAAGACAGACTTAGTAGCACACAGCAAATTGAGCTGCTGCAGCTCTGCCATAGCTGGAAATAAAATTAATGTTAAATCTAACACTTAACAAACTCCTCCAATCAAAGCACAGGATTCCAACTTCTGCTGGGAGAAAGTGCTACAAGAGCTTTGCAGATGAATCATAGAATCATCAAGGTTCGAAGAAACCTCTAAGATCATCAAGTCCAACCATTAACCTGTTACTGCTGGAATCCCTAAACCATATCCTCCAGCACCAGATCCAGACACCTCTTAGATGCTTCTAGGGATGGTGACTCCATCACCTCCTGGGCAATATTCCCAGTGCCTGAACACCCTAACAGGGGGAATATGTTTCCTAGTATCTCCTCTGACTCTCCTCTGTCTCTGCTCATGATCCTAGACCTTCACTCCCTCTAGTCCTCTCCCTGCAGCCACAGCAGGAGAGACTATCCCTCCCCTCTCTCCAACCCTTTCAGGTGGTCCAAAGGTCTATCCATGATGCCACTTCTGGCTCTCATGCTTTCAGCACAGGGAGGTATGCAAGAAAAAGTGGCAGGAACCAGCAGTGAAATGACCACCTAAAGCAGCAAGTTTGCCCAAGAAAAGGGCTCCCCCAGCATAGCAGAGGAGGAGGATGTTTCCCATTTCAAGCTTTGGACCCTCAGTTCATCCTGTCACCTGAACAGTGACCCAGAAAGAACTGGACTAGCAGCAAACAGCACATGAGGAAGGACAGAGAGGGAATGAGTGACCTCCCACAGCCAAATCTGCTCAGCTCTCCAACCCTCCTGAGCTATTCCCACCTCCTCCAAAGAGGCAAAATGCACATTTGAACAGCCATGAATCAGCACGGAGGAGGGGAAAGAGCCCAGACTGTCTTTTACCCATATTTCAACCCACTACACACTCAGGTAATTAAGACAAAAGTAGTAATTAAGACAAAATAGAGCCAATTCCCTTTGTAAGGTTGGGCTGAGAAGGGTTAGCTGCCCCAGCACCACAGGGAGAATGAAGAGCTGTCCCTAAAACACAGATCTCATTACTGTACCACTCTGGAGTGACCTGTACTTGAAGACAGAGATGCCTCCAGCATGAACAAGGATTGTTTTGTTTGGTTAAAGCAGAGCACACAGATGACAGGCCCAAGCTGACAAATAAAGCCCTCCCCAAAGGCCTTGCTGAGCAATCCAGGAGAGCACACAAAAAACTGCTTGAGCAGGCACCATAAATCACCTGCATCTCCCTCCACCTCCAAATAGGGAAATAATTATCATTGGATCCATTATAGAAATAAATCTCCTTTGCAGCCCTGATCTGGCACCAGTGGAGATGACGAAAGCCATTCTCAGGAATTAATTGATCGAGGAATAAACCTGTTAAGTGTATAGATTTACTGTAAACCAAGACCATTAATTTTAGAGTGTGTGGCCATGCAACAATCTGCTCAACATCCCAGTGGCTGGATGCACAGGGAATACAAAACACAGCTGGGGCTCAGCTCTGCTGAGGCAGGTCCAAGTGCCTAGTCACTCCAGGGGATACAAACTGACTCACATTTCATCTCAGTGGAAAGTGACTCTAAGGTCTTTCCACCTCTTGGAATGCCTTCTGTACTTCTCCCACATAGTCTGGACAGGCTAGGGAACATCCTAAAAGCATCTCAATACTTATTTTTACTTGCTACAGCTCCTTCTGTTACTCTCCTGGTGACCACAGAGGAAGTTTCTTCAACATCAGCCTCTGCTCCACCAGGAAAGGTCACCAAGGGAAGTTAGGACACTAAGGCTATGCTTGATTCCCTGTTGGAGGAAGCAGTACCTGATTTCCTCCCTACACATGCTGAGAGGTATTTAACAGGCACCAAAAATCCTCATTTAACTCTACACCAGGGAGGAACTTCAACTTCAGAGCTTAGACTGGGAGGAAGATAGAAATGCAAACAGAGATGGCTGGAAAAATAGTTCATAAAAAGGGGATACCAAAGTAGGAGTTTCTGGGGCAAAAAACCTACTAACCATCAACTTGGACAGACGCAAAACATGGATCCAAAGGAGGAACTTATGGAGTATGGAGGCATGGAAAGGCCAGAGGGCACAAGGAGTGATCAGGTGCCAGGGACAGACAGACAGAGCAGACACTGCCCTTGTGCTGGAGCCAAGCGCCACCTCCTGGCACTAAGGACACTGGGGAAGGAACTCCCATCCCTCTGGATAAATCCCAGAGCACTACACATCAGGAGCAGAAGAAAAAGAAGGTATTGCAGATGTTACACAGCATCCTGCCCCATGGAGCCACATCACTCCCATATCTGCCAACCTACCTAGATTTATACCCCAGACATTGGTTGGCTCAGTAAGGAAGTCACAGTGGGTTCTATTTTTATTTTCCCAATTCTAGAGTCATGGAATGGTTTGAAAGGGATCTTAAAGCTCATCTCATTCCACCCCCTGCCATGGGCAGGGACACTTTCCACTAGCCCAGGTTGCTCCAAGCCCCACACAACCTGGCCTGGAACACTCCCAGGGATGGAGCAGCCACAGATTCTCTGGGCAATCTGGTGTCTCATCACCTTCCCAGGGAAGGATTTCTTCCCAATATCTAATCTAACCCTCCTATCGGTTTGAGCCCATTCCCCTTTTGTCCTGTCACTCTTGTAAACAGTCTCTCTCCATCTTTCCTTGTAGCCTCCCCCAGGTACTGGAAGGGCACAATTAGACCCCTTCAAACCCATCTATCTCTTGGGTTCCCAAACCCATAAAGCCTTGTCAGATAGGACCTGTAGCTCATCCCAAGCAGCTCTGTCCACTCCTGATGCTAACAAAATTGCTGCTCTTGCTGAGACTCACCCAATTCACCTTTTCTTGGCCCCAGACACCTGATTTATCTGCCTGGACAGGTAGAAAACTGCCTGAATTCATCCTCAGGACAACTCAAGCTCCACAGAAGCAGTGGGAAGCAGCCTGTGCAGGTGGAGGATGGGAAAAGGGATATGAACATACTCCAATGATCGTTTAAATCAGCTTATCTTCATCACCTCTTGGGAGGTTTTCAAGACCAGGCGGGTGGTGCTTTAAAGCTGTGAATCTGGTTAACAGAGCTAACAGGATTTTGGAGATCACCAGAGATCCAGGAATTCCCTCAATGCTCATTATTAACTGTCTTTTCAAAGCATGAAAAATTTGCTATATAAACTGATGGGCAAAAGAGAAAGAAATTCTCAGCAGAGAGACTAAAAATACTAAGTGTGGCCTAGTTCTTGCAGTTCTAACAAATAAGCAGTAAAAATGCACCTTCTAAGTGTATTTAGAGCTGGAGATGAGGACTTGAGTTTGCACTGCTAGATCCTGAAGCAAGTCAGAACATTTGTGTGTCACTGTGCAACTGGGAGGATAATCTATCCAGGCTGTTCAGATTGACACTTCTCTTGTACAAAGAGGAAAGAATAACCCACACAGCAACTTTCTCACCACACCTTTGGCTGGAACACTTCAATCACAAACAGCCCTCAGACAATTCCTGACAAGACCAGGTTAAAACCAAACCACAGAACAATAACACTCCTTAGTAACTTTCCTGCTTGAAGGAATGGACAGAAATATAAAAAAGAAGAAGAAATTCTACTTACTTTATGCAGCCAATGATGACCTGTGTCAGAGGATAGATCAGTGGTTCCATGACCTCACTGGGATAGATTGTGCTGAGGACTCGACACCAGAAATAGAGGCAGTGGATGTACTGCCAGTTATAGACAGACTGGAAATTCTCCTGTAGAAATGGGAGAAATAAAGGCACAAACATGAGAATGTGGCATTGGAGAGCTCACTCTAGTTCCCCTACAGGACTTGTTTTACCCAAGACACTGTAGTGCTCAGAGGGGAATAACTAATGTTGTAGCTGTCACTCTGAGCCACCAGTCAGCAAGTTCAGATGCTGCATTGGCATCAGATGGTACCAGTCAGTGCCTTGAAGGAATTAAGGTGAAGAAAACCAGTGTGTGGCTCAAATATAGCTCTTGGAGAGGGAAGATTTCACAGCCCAGTTCACAGCAGACAGTGGGATGTGGCCAAGCACAGGGAAATGTTCAGCTGTTCACTGTCAAAGCAAGGACAAATCAACCCAGCACTCACTCCTCTCTCTGCTCTTGGGAAAGACTCCCCAGGACAGCTTCATTTTCCCATTTCAGGATAAAACTAACAGGCAGCAGAGCTGAGAATAAACTTCCAGCTCTGTTTCTCAGCCAGTCTTTATGGTTACCAGCAAAACCAAAGCCCCAGGCCAGCTGTGTGCTGGCTCAGGGCATGGGTAACAGCAGCTCAAGTCTTTCCCCAGTCCAAGAGACACTGTTTTCAAGGATGTTTTGGGCTAACCCCCACTCTCCCTGACCTGTGCTGAAACAGCTCAGTGCCAGATTAAATAGAAGCTCAGAAGAGTCCCTGAAGGACATCCTCTTCAAAGGGCTCTCCAGGCACATGCAGTGCCCAAAATGCATGAAGAACACAGGAGATTGCACCAAAGGTGGCTCAGTTCCCACTTGTGTTTGTCTCAGACTTTCAATGTCCAGATCACCTCCTCTTCTGCATGGATAACAAGATGCACAAGTCCTGAAACGAGGACAGAAGTCCTTAATTGCAGCCACCAGCCCAAACCTTGCAGGGGACTTAAGCCAAGCCACAGCTGGACATGGTAGAGCTCTGCCAGCTCTCCCCAGGTCACTGAGACGTCCCAAAAAGCTCTGCTCTCAGCTCCTCTTGCACGAGAACAGACAAGCAATCTGCTCCCTGTAATCACCTTCCACAACCATCCACTGCTCCTCCGTTGAAATAGGCTTATTGCTTGGATTTGTGCATTTTGGTTGTGCTGTTCTCATTTAAAGTTGCTGCAACCCTCCCCAGCTGTGAAGTCAAGTGGATTTAGCTCTTGTCTGGGCCACAACTGAGGGTGTAAGAAGCCAGTGCAATCCAATTAGGGGATATGCAGCCCAGACTTCATTTATCTCTGCTTATTTATCCCCATGTCTGAACAGCCAGGAGATTTAGCTGGTCACCAATCCTACAATGTTTGGGGGCAGCTGAACAATTAATCTATTGGGGTCTGTTTTGCTAAACATGACTAAAGCCAGGATTAGCAATCTGACTCAGATTTCCCAGGTCAGACTGGAGGTGGCTGAAACCAAGGATCTTCCCAAAAAGTCTGAGCTGCTTTGGGCAGTTAAGTCCTTTAAATAACATAGACTTCACTGCAAAGATGCACACACCAGAGTGGGTCCTAATCTTCTTTACCTTGAGGTTTTGGGACAGAGGCTGCAAACAGCAGCTTCAGGGTGGAAAAAGGATGTCTGAGGAAGAGGATGGAAAGTACAGCACAAGCTCCTGCAAAAGTGGGGAGAGAAATGTGACTCCCACACTGCAGTTCATGGAATGGTTTGGGTTGGAAGGGACCTTGAAGACCTCCTAGCTCAAATCTTTGCCATGGACAGGGACACCTTCCACCAGCCCAGGTTACTACAATCCCCATCCAACCTGGCCTTGGACACACTCAGGGATGTAGCAGCCACAGCTTCTCTGGGCAACCTGTGCCAGTGCCTCACCACCCTCACAGGGAATTCTTTCTTCCTGGTATCTAATTTAAACCTCCTCCGTCAGTGTGAACCCATTCTCAGTCTTCCTGTCACTCCAGGCTCTTGCAAATAATCTCTCTCCATCTTTCTTGCAGCTCCTTTGGGTAGTGGAAGGCCACAATTGAATCACCCTGAATCCTTCTCTTTCCTCTCCTTCCTTGCTGAAATTCCACACTAACATAGGCAACTCTGAGGTGATCTCTGGAACTCCCATTCCCTGGCAGGCTATAAAATGGGTCAAACTCAAATCAGCCACTTTAGAATCATAGAATCATCACAGAATTTTAGGGGCTGGAATGGAGCTTAGAGATCACCCAGTGCCAAGCCAACCCCCTGCCCTGGGCAGGGACACCTCCCACCAGAGCAGGTTGCTCAAGGATTGACCCAACCTGGCTTTGAACAGTGCCAGGGTTGGGGCAGCCACAAACACCCTGGACAACCTGTGCCAGTGGCTCACCACCCTCACAGGAAAAACATCCTGATAGCTAACCTAAATTTCCCCTCTTTCAATTTGAATAGAGACACTATCAAAAGCCTGAAGAGGTGATTTTCACTTCCCCTCTCCACACATTCCCTGTAGAAGACAGACCAACCTTCTTCTTGACGGTCATGGCGCTGCGCAGGTGGATGGCGAGCTGGCGGATGTAGATGAAGGTGTGCTGGTAAGAGGTCTGAGTGTCCAGGGCATACATCTCTGTCAGGGTACGTTGCATAAAGTTGATCATGGGCAGGACATTGGGAGAGGTGAATCTGGAGTTCTTCACAAAGGCAATGTACATTTGCTGGGAGGGGAAGAGGACAAGATAAAACCACATAAAACACGACAAAAACGTTGTCTGGTTGAGCTTCCCCATCCAGATATGTCCAAATTAGGGGTCAAATGTTGCTTTGCCAAGACAAGTCACTTCAAAGGAATATGGCAAAGTCAATCCAGCCTGCTTCTTCTTTAGGGGAGACAGGAAAGAGTCTGTTTAGCACAGATCTCTGATGTCCCAGCACTGTTTGGCTGCAAGAAGATTGTCTGAGCCACCCATGGTTATGCTTGGGCACAGTTCTCCAGCTTAGGAGTTACAGAAACTACACTTGGCAACCTCAACTACACATCAAAGCAACTCAGTGTTATGTTAACACATCAAGAATCTGGAAGTTGAGTACTCATCCAGTACACAGATGAGCACCAGAGATCTGTCCTGCTCAGTCCTTGCGCCTCCAGCAGGAAGAGCAGTAGGTTATCACTCTGACCCAGCAGAATTTCTCCCCTGTTTAATGTTCTGGAGGTACTCAGAACCATCTCCAGCACCTGCTCTAGCTAATAGGCTGCAACTCAATGCTTTAAGGTACTTGCAGAGTGCAGCAGGTACCAGGCCTACCTTGAGCAAGGGACTTAGGTACACCTCCTTCTTGTGGCGGCAGATCTTGTTCAGCACAAGGAAGGCCAAGACTCTCACTGTTTCCTCCCCTGTGCTCCACAAAGTGATTGTTTGCTGCAACAAAACAAAAGATAGAGATGAGTGAAGGGATAAAGAGCTCCTTCCTGGTTATAGACAGGTCTGAGCTTCCTCCTCCACACCAAAAAGCAGTGAGGAGGAGGATGACACAAAGATGGGAAGATGTGTTGGCACAGAATCAGTCACAGCAGCAATTCTGAGCTCACAACTCTAGCTGACAGACCACACCAAGGCAAGGTTGATGTTTCCATCATCAAGAAAGGAACCTGTCCAAAACTAGCACCTCTGAAAAATACATTCACTTTTATTTGTGTGCCTGAGGACTCATTTGAGCTTCTGAGCAGAAGCATCAGCCTTGCAGGGGACTCAGTCTCCTACAGACTGGCTACGACTGGTCCTGTCAGCATCTGCTACAGAACCACACTCATGCCTGATGCCTCCAAAAACCAGTGACCTTATCTGCACTGAGAAACTCCACAAAACATCAGCTGCAGGGCTGGAAAAACCGACTGTGAAATCCCTCCAGCAGCACTGAGCAGTGCTACACCTTCAGCTGTGAGGTGTCCCAGCCTCCCACCCCTGCACACCAGTCATCCTTCATCATCAGAGGGTTCCCTGCCTCATTTAAATGTTGCTTTGTTGCTTTTCACTCCAATGTCACCCTGCTGCCCTCTTCATCTCTTCCACGCCTCCATTGTTGTTCTTAAGTGCTCAGCAGTTGTGACTAAGTTGCTGCAAAAATATTCCACCCCCAGCTCTGGAGAGCTGAAATGGTATCACAGACACTCTCACTGCCTGGCACACAGGCAGCAATTACTCCATCTGTGAGGAGGAAGCAGACAGTTTCCCCAAACACCTCCCTGCCACTTGCATGGGAATTAGCAGCTACACACAGAGCCAACAGCCCACTCACATCAGCCTGAGATCACCTAGAGGCACCTGGAAGGCTTGGGAGAAGTGGGAATCCTCCCCAAGAGGCTGAACCATCATGGGATCCAGCTCAAACACCACAACAGGCTCATGTGAAGGGAGAAAAAAATACCTCAGATCTCACATCACAGCACATCCCCTCACCTTGAGAAGGGCACGGCACTGCTTTGGGAAGGACAAGTAGTAAGGCACTGTGGAGTTGACATGTTGGAGGACTGCTGCACCAACTGAGGCTTCTGTTAGACAGGACAGGAGCTGTGGGGGGAAAAACAAACCAACAACTCCATTTAGCATTCAGTCTTCATCACCTCATCCTTCACCATCTGCATTTGGCTGTTTCCAAGCAGTTCTGTGTTACCAAAGGGCTGGAAAATCAAGCTCATTAGAAAGGAGCTCAAACAAACCTGCAATAGCTGTATCAGGAAAGGAGCAAACATGTGGCAGGTTGAATAACTGCCCTGAATGTACATCATCCTGGAAAATGAGAGCTCAGACTACTGGACTTGGATAGCTAATGGCACCTGAGCTCATCAGATAAAGCCTCACTTGTGTACACTCCACAATCTAAGTTTGGATACAGTTTAAGACACTAAAGTCTATGTCATCTCACTACAAATGGTCAGACACCCTCAGCCTGCACAAGGCTTGGGAACCATCTGAGCTGATAGATTTCTCCAGGATTTCTTTAGTGGGAAGCAGGAATACTATTGGGGATCAAGAGGTTAACACTAGCTCAAGGAATAGGTTAGATAAACTATTAAGAAACAAGATCTTTGTCCCTGCCCAGGGCAGGGAGGGTTGGAACTAGATGATCTGTAAGGCTCATTCCAACCCCTAAAAAATTCTATGATTCTATACTTCCAGGTTGTTCAGCTCAGTTCACTGGAGCCAAACCCTGAGATGTTGCAGTTTCTCATCTGAACAGCAAGCTCCAAGTCACTTGGAGAGGTTCTCCTGCTGCAATGTCCCTCTGTCTGCAATCCCAACTGCTGGAAGAAAAAGCTTTTTGCCTAAATTTTCCTCCTTATTCTCCTCCTTGCACTGAGCAAAGGTTCTGGACTGAGCAAATCTTTGCAGAGTCCCTCAGACAACAAAAGGAAAGGAGATAATTGCTCAGAAACTACTGGCCAGGAAATGTTCCCTGTGGGAGTGAGCACAGGAACAGGGATTGCTCCCAGGAACTGCACTGCTAGCTTTTCCTTGCCTGCTGCAATCCTCTGCTGCTGGCAAGAGGCACCACAACTTGAGAGAAAAAATAAAAAACCCAAACCCTCTGCTGATCAAAATGCTCTTTCTGCTAAGTCATTCTGCCAGTTCACAGCTAAGGACATCAGCACTTTGGTTTCCTTTCCTTGCACCTCTTTCCAAAGAATATGTCAATGTTGGTTTGGTTTTAATATTCTAAATTTGGGGATGCATGATGAAAAAAAAATTAACTGGGGAGAGGAGATTCCTTCAGAAAAAACATCCATTTATTGATTCTGAAACAGTAGACATCAGCAATTTGGGGAATATCCTAGTGGGATGGAACATTCTCATACTTAGAAACATCCTATGTGAGGTTAACATAACATCCTCTTAGTATTTACCTCAGGAAGTGCCAAAACCTGAATTAACAATGCAGAATACAGGAGCACAGCACTGCAAACGACTTTAAAGCTCACTAAATATTCATTTGTCAGACTAATTAACACAGAAACAACTGCCAGAATGTTATTCTAACCCTTCTCTTTTGACCTTGGGTCCATCCTAACAAACCTCCAACAATGTTAGGTAGACCAAATACTGCCAAAACAAAGACAAGGAACTGGATGGACACAAAAATATCTCAGATGCCTCATTCCAAAATATCCCCCAAAACCAGCCCAGAAACGCATAGACTGACCCAAAGAACACACAATATGATGTTATTTCTTACTTGTATGGTACAGCCAAGGTACATTTTGATGTCCAGGCGTAGCTTACCCCACAATGGGCTGCTGGAAGGGAGAACCATCCTGGAAATGAGTAAGAGTTGGGGTTAGCTTTTAAGAAAGCCATTAAATAAATGAGATTTCAGCAGCAAAATGAGCAGTGAGTTGAGCTCCTTGATATAGACAGTAACAACTGCTTGCAAAGCATCAACTGAGAGAAGTAACAGCTCTGTCATGGCTGAAGAGAAGTATTTCTGCTCTGTCAAAACTGCCTGGAGCAAAGCAGAGAATGCAGTTCAAAGAGCTTCCTCAGCTCTGTGGCAGCACAGGGAGCTGTGACAAGCAGAAAACCTGCCTGGTGGGGACCTGAGTCTCTCACACTGGTGTTATCTTCCAGTCAGGCACTCTGCAGCCACTGATGAGAACAGAGCAGGGTGGCTGGCAGAAAAAAAAAAAAAAAAAAAAAAAAAAAAGGCTATTTTTGGGACAAAGCAGTTGTGAGACATTTGTTCTGTCTCTCCTAAACCTCTGACATTGCACTCATGAAGTAGTGCCCTCAGGCTATGCCAAATTCAGACATGGTTTGTACAAGTCAGGCCTGGGGAGGGAAGAGATTGGTGTTTATACAAGAGAACTGCATTTATTTCTCAGACTAGGCATCAATGTCAAAATGAATGTAAAGGTTATCTAACCCTTCCCTTCATCTGTCACAGGGAAATTAAAATTAACTGCCCCAAAATTGCTCTGGAACTGAAAGGACTTGTGGAAAGGGATTCAGTTCTCTCTACAATGGGAAAAACAGGAGCTCAGAGTGTGAAATAATAAAACTGTGTCCAGCTGAAAATGTAGAGGGGACTGAGGTTAAAAGCTTCAGTGTCTAATAGGGAACTGGCATAGGAGCTAAAAGGCTACTCCAGCCTGTTAAAAAAACTAGGAGTATCATCAGCTTGTTCCCTGAAGCTGCTGGGCTCATCCTCCCCAGCTACAGAACTGCTTCATTCACCAGTTCAGACTGGAACTGACTTCCAGCACCTTTTCCAGTTGCATCTGGGTGAGCCATGCAATTCCCTATTCCATTATGGATCCAGCAGCACACAAACTGTTTGAGCACCAACTTATTTAGGACATAACACAGGTGTTAAAGCCCTGGATGAACTGAAGTCACACAATTGTGAACACACTGCCTATATCCAGACTGAAGGGTTGATCCTTTTCTCTGCTAACCAACTTACAATGCCTGAACAATGCTCCTGAGTCCAAGTGTATGCAATTCCACATCTCCTTCTGTTGAAGCAACACGTCCCCTGCAAGTAGCTGGACATCACCAGGGACAGACTTTGGGGGAAGAAACCTCAGACAACCTTAAGTATTTGGGAAGAGCTACCACCTCTTTTCCAGCTTCACTGCCAGGAAGCAGCTCTGAAACTCCCCAACCAGTTCTCTCTGACTTGCAGTTCTCAAATCTGCTCACACTTACTTGTGTTTGTTCTTTGGGGCTTTGGGAAACAGCAGCTGATGCAGGTGGTGAAAGAGGTCTCGGATACAGAAGGACACAAGGGCATTGAACACTGTGTAAAAAGAAGGCAGGAAAGCATTTGTAGATGACTTTCAGTATATTTCTATCTATACATCTCTGTAATTCCTATCTATAGTTTCTCAGCTAATGTGAAAAGAGATCCCCAAGGAACTGCAGCAATAATTTCCACAGCAGAACTACTGCGTTTCTTCAAGCTTCTAGAGGGAAGAAGGACAAAACACCAATTTTGGGGATTCTAGTTACCAAAACCTGGTATTTTTCACAACAAAATACCAGTTTGTCTTACCCTATAACTTTTAATCTAAACAACAGGATTATAACTGAGAGTTTTTGGCACAAGGATCATCTCTTTGCTCTCTAAACAAACAGCACCAACACTGACACACTGGGACACCAGCAGAGATCCCACTGCACAGACTCACACCAGCAAGATAAGTAGCTTAAGTGAAATGAAGCCTGTGAAAGGGTAAGTTAACTCCTGCCAGTGCTTCTCTCCCAACAGCTAAACACCCCTAGCAAATTATTTCCATTCTCTCACAGGGGTGCAGTGAACTCACCTGCAGCATCAGTGACCTGAAACTTGCTGGGGTCACCACCACTGTCTCCCTTGGTGGTTGCCACAGCTGCTTTGTAGGCTTGAGTGATTTCATGGAAGAGTCTGGGGGTTAGGTTCCTCTGGGGAAAGAAGAGAAAGGATTGCTGAGGAGAAAAAGTAAGAGATTTTCTGGAACTCTGAAGCATTATACTGGGTTGGGAGTGCTGGAATTAACTGGAAGTCTAATGGCAAAAATAGCTCCATCCTCTCCCATGGAAGAGCTGCAGTGGCAGGACAAAGAGTAATGGGGAGAAATCCAGAGAGGAAGTTTAGGTTAGATATTAGGAAGTTTTTCCCTGTGAGGGTGGTGAGACACTGGCACAGATTGCCCAGGGAGGCTGTGGCTGCCCCAACCCTGGCAATGTTCATTCCAGGCTGGATAAAGCCTTGAGCAACCTGCTCTGATGGGAGGTGTCCCTGCCCAGGGCAGGGGGTTGGGGCTGGATCATCTCTAAGCTCCATTCCAACCCCTAAAATTCTCTGATTCTATGAAGAAAAAGCATCAGGACAGTGTTAACAAATGCCAGTGGCTTTAACCTGCTCCAAATTGGCTTTTAATTGGTTGGTGAGGCAGAGAAGCAATCAATCAGCTGCAAGTAATTATCCAATCTGAGCTTCCCCCCTTAGTCAGAAAAACAAGCCATGTCATCACTGCTCAAAATGTGACTACAAAAGCTCTTAGAGCTCCCAAAGGATTAGCAAGAGGCTGAAAAAATCAAAATGTGATCATTCTGACCTCTTCTGAGCCACGTGTTTCTCCAGCAGCTCCCTCAGCTGGAGTGCAAACACTCCTGCAGCACAAGAAGAATTGCACAGACAAGTGAAGCAGAAACAACAACAGCTCTGGGAGCACAAGACATACATCTCTGCAGATTTTTGTGGAAGATTAACAAACCACAAGTTGGTCTTTCAGGCAGGGACACATGGAAGAATGTTTAAAGAACACACTCAAGCGCCTCATTTTCCAACTCCCTGCTCACCTCTGCAGCTTGTTTCCATCCTTCAACCATCTTCAAGTTGACAGGGATGAAAGAAACTTTCTTCCTTTTGACTGTTTCTTGTTCTTCTTCTTCATCTTCATCACTTGCTTCCTAGAGAAGTTAACAGCAAGACTAAGCAAAGGTTTAGACACTTCTTTTCTGGCCCAACCTCTTTTGCTGAGCAGCTACTGAAGAGCCCTGATTGTATTTATGCTTTATGAGCACTTTGTTTAGAGCAGTAATAAAATTAGAGGTAGTACAAACATATGAAGAAAAGCACTTAAGCTCTGCAGTTTTGCTACATAACCACAGTGTGCAATAATGTAAAGTATCCAAGGGAAAATAACACCACTTGAGGCAAAATTCTTATTGGGAAAGGTGACACAAAAGCAAAGCCATAGAGAAATTATACTCTAAGGTTCTGTTTTCAAAATCTTTAGTGTATTCCTCAAGCTCCACAGCTGATTTCTGGATTACAAATGTCTACACCTTTGGATGATCTTTGGGGAAGTTCCTCCCCAGCCACCTGTGCCAATGTAGGCCCAAATATACTGAGAGACAAGAGGTTTAGATTGAATATTGGGAAAAAATCCTTCCCTGTGAGGGTGCTGAGGCACTGGTATAGGTTGCCCAGAGAAACTGTGGCTGCTCCATCCCTGGGAGTATTCCAGGGCAAGTTGGACAGGCCTTGGAGCAACCTGGGCTAGTGGAATGTGTCCCTACCCATGGCAGAGGGTGGAACAAGATGGGCCTTAAGGTCCCTCCCAACCCAGCCATTCTGTGATTCTGTACTCAAGCCCTGCACTGAAACTTGAATTCTTCACTTGAAAATAACTGAATTCACTGACTGCAGCACTCCAAAGAGGGTTTGGTACCTCCAGTGTGTCAGGAGGTCTGTGCAGTGGATCCTCCTCCTCCTCAGAACTGTCTGAAGCATCAAAATCCAACAACCTGCGGTCATTTTCCTCCAGAAACTTGTAAAACTCAGGGTCTCTGTCCTTCAGCCTGGAGAGCTGATCCTTGTGTTCAGATGCCTTTCCCTTCTTCCTGGTGGATAAGAATTAACATGTGTTATTCACTGCTCAAACTTCTGCTGGTGCTGCGAGGAAAACAAGACACATTTGGTCACTAAGTACACCTGGGGCTAATTTCAGTGTTGATGGATCTATCACAGCTGTGGCCACAGTTCTGGACCTTGTTTATCACCTGCTCTGGAGCACTTGAAATAGGTTATTTCCATTAAGCACTAAGAGATCTTGATAGCAAAATATCATGTTGTATTGGGATATTGACAGAGGCCATGAAAACATCTTGAACAACCAAAATAAATGTGTTTCTCAGTTTAATACAATTACTCCCATAAGCTTTTACAAAAACACTCAAAGCTGCACTACCAGAGAACCCTGACAATGAAATCTCAGTGAAATCTTACCTGATAATAAACAACTGTTTTGGCTTCTAATAACAATTAGCAGAGCTCAAAAACTACCTCATCATTACCTTGCAGCTACTCCAAAGTCTTTCAGTCCTTCTCCCTTACCTGACAGCAGGTTGTGCCTGCCCATTCTGCCTTGCCTTGCTGCTCGGCTGCCACTGCCTCACAGTCTCCTCCTCCTCACAGCCACTGTCAGCCTCTGACTCAGAGCCAGCAGCAAGGAATTCATCCAGGCTCAGCTCTTCCAGTCTCCTAGAGGGGGGGAAAGAGAGGGGGGAGAGAGATGGAGGTGATGCTGAGAAAAGCCTGGAAAAGAACTACTCACAGACTTGTATCTCTGAGTAGCAGGTATTTGTTCATTCAGTGCTGGGCACAAGGGAGATTATTCCACCAAACTTGTGCAACCAGGGGCAAAAACGTCACAGTTTCTATCCACTAAATGCTCATACATATTCATTATTTCCAGGAATGGGTGGTTATTATTATAATTGGTCCTCAGAAATCATTATCATATACTCCTCTGTCTTCTCCCTCTTGGCATCAGTCCCATGGTCCTGGTGGTCATTCGGTGGTCGTGAAGATGAAGTGTCTCCTCTTCCTCAGTACCCTTTGGACACCCTTATTATGCAACTGTTTACCCCTTTGTACAGTTTTGCATGCCTTGCTGACCTTGCCTCTACCTTGAACATTTTGTTTCTTCATTCCACACCTCTACATGGTCTTAGTTTTCCTCCTACTGCCACGGTTTGAGTCTAGTTAGCTCTACTGCCTTATAGATAAGGTGCATCGTTTCGCCAACCAAGCCACAACAATACCATTAGTGAAGCTTTTTGTCTATGCAATCCTTGCTATTTTGCTAATTAAGCTGAAATAGTGCCATTAGTACAGTTATTCTTTATGCTTTCATCTTTAACTGTTCAATTCCTGCTTTCAGTCTACTTCTCAGTATCAGAGGGGGAAAGAGAGAGGCAGAGGAGGAAAGAGAGAGAGAGAGAGA